AGTAAAAAAAAAAAAAGTAAAAAAAAAAAAGAATATTTGTTCTTACACTGCTATTTGACACAGTAGTGGAGTTTCTAGCAGGGTTGTTAGACAATAAATATATAAATAAATAAATAAATCACATACAGGTTACAAAGGAAAAAATAAAACTATTTCTATCCACAAATAACATGAACTAACATGTAGAAAATCCTAAAGAACCTACTAAAAAACTACTAGAAACTAATTATTGAGCTCAGCAAAATTGGGGGATACAAAATAAATGTACAAAAATTAATTACATTTCTAAACATTTGATTTCTAAATAGTAAATCTAAAATGAAATTAAGAAAACGAGTCCATTAATAGTAGCACCAACAAGTAAAATGCCTCTGAGTTAATTTAGTAAGAGTTGCAATTTTTACATCTGAAAATTATAAAACATTATTAAAAAATTAAACAAGACCTAAATAAACAGAAAAACATCCCATGTTCATTGCTTGAAAGACAATATTATTAGAATGGCAATACTTCCTAGATTGATCTACAGATTCTACATAATGTCTACTAGAAACCTAGCAGATTTCTGTGCAGAAATTGACAAACTCATGTTAAAGTGTATATGGGTTTACAAGGACTCAGAATAGCCAAAACAATCCTGAAAAAGAACAAAGTAGGAAAATTCACAGCTTTCTAAACTGAGCACAGGTGCAAAATGGTCGTACAGTGGTAACTCACCTGGACACACAGGGAAGGGTCTTGGATTTCTGTCCTGGGACCACCCTGAGTATGCTGAGACTGAAGATGTGTGCTTGTAATCTTGCTCATCTGAAACTAAGAGTGGATTTTGGTGTGAGTATCCTGTTGGGGGTCTCTGTCTGAGAAGATATAAATAAACTTTAAAAATTTTACCACAAAACAATGGTAATAAAAAAAACTGGTATTCACAGGGATATGTGTATTGATCAATGTAATAAAGTTGAGAGTTCAAAACTAAACTCAAATATTTTTGGTAAAGTAAGTTTTGATAAGGGTTCCAAGGCCATTCAATTGGGAAAAAGAATACTTTTTACTTTTTAATGTTTTTGTGCCAATTAGAAAACCACTTGCAAAAATATGAACTTTTAACCCAAACCATGCCTAAAAATTAACACCAAAAGGATCAAAAAACTAAATGGATTAGCAGATGGTGTAGTGGTTGCATGGCTGAACTCCCACATAGTCAACCATGGTTTGAGCCCTGGACCTGGTGACTTAAAACTCAAGCCAGGCATGTGCTGGTGCATGCCCATGCTCGTGTGTGCCCAAAATTCTGAGAGGAGAATGGAGGAGAAGGGATTGTGGCATGGCCACCTCTGGGATATGTGTGTGTGTGTGTGTGTGTGTGTGTGTGTGATTTCTTGCTTTCTGTCTCTCTGTCTCTCCAGCAAGCACACACACTCTATAGCAAAAATCTCCCTCTTCCCCCCCGAAAAAAATACTAAACATAAAACCTAAAAGTATAAAAATTTTTTAAAAATATTTTTGCTATAGGGCATGTATGCTTGCTGGAGAGACAGAGAGACAGAAAGGGAGAAGTCCCCCCCTGTAAGTGGTCACACCACAATTCCTTCTCCTGTATTCTCCTCAGAATTTTGGCACGTACATGCACGTACCTGGCATGAGTTTGAAGCTGCCGGGTCCAGGACTTGAACTGCGATAGACTATGTGGGAGTCCAACAGCATAACCATTATGCTGTCCACTGGTCCCAAAACTATAAAATTTTAGAAGAAAACATAAGAATAAATATTTATGGCTTCAGATTTTACAAAGGACTCTTAGATGTGACAACAGAAACATAAGCAACAAAACAAATAATCGACAGTTAGGACTTTATCAAAACTGAAAAGTATTGTGTTTCAAAGGACACCATAAAGAAAGTGAAAATAGGGGTAAGACAGTGGCAGAGTGTGGTAACACAACTGACCTACATAGGAAAGGTCCAGCGTTTCCAACCCAGGACCTCCCTAGGCACTCAGGGTATATGGGCACATGCCTGTAAGCCAGACCAGCTTTTTGTTTTGTTTTGTTTTGTTTTTCTTTGCTTTTGTTTTCTTTTTTGGAGAGGTTTTCGCTATAGGGCGCGTGCGCTCGCCAGACAGACAGAGAGAGACATAGAGACAGAAAGCGAGAAATCACCCCCCAGGGGGGATGGTCACACCGCAATCCCTTCTCCTCCATTCTCCTCTCGGGATCTTGGGCACGCACGCACACATGCCTGGCGTGAGTTTAAGCCACCGGGTCCGGGATGTGAACCGCGGTTGACTACGTGGGAGTCCAGTGACATTGCCATTACGCTAACTGCTGGTCCCACACTAAGAATCTTCTTAATTGCAAGGCCCCAAGTTTGACTCCAATTACTAGGACAGAATATCCACAAAAGGAGTCTGGGGATCTTAAACTTAAGTTTTATGTTTTGTTTTTTAACTCAACACTTAGTATTTATATGGAAGTATATGAGAGGGATAGGTGCTTCGTTGTTATTTCAAATACTGAGCCAATTATCCCAATACCATTTTTTTCAATAATATAAACTTTCTCTATAGCCCAACTCCAAGAAGGAACCAAAATAATTCTATATTAAATCCCATATAATAGAAAGCCCTTAAAGTTGATTTATTTCCCTTTTGTTAACTGACCTTGCTTTACTATTTAACTTGTAGCAAACAATCTAATCATAATTTTGCTGAGTTTTCACAGGACCTGGGGCTTGAAATCACAAGTCAGAGAGCAGATGCCTGTAAGAAAACAGAGGAAAGAGATGCTGGCCTTGAGTACAAAATGACCCCTATGCATCACAATTCTGGTGCCAACTAGTGTCCATACAGCTGTGCAGAAGAGCAAGTAGAGCTCTCCTGCTTCCCACTTTATTGTCTTTTCCTTTAAAATCTCCTGTCCTGGCCTGAAACTTTGTAGATGATCTTTGAACCTTAATTACAATGTTCACTATCTTCCCAGGTCCAGTTTCCTTTTCACCAACATTTACTTGCCTCTGCAATAATGGCCTTTTGATCAGTGGGGATCCTAACCTGGGTTCACTCACCTAGCTGGACCTGAACCTGGTCTGGGTCCCATCCCTACTGATTCAAAAGTTTTCAATTAGTTTACTAGCACTTGCCCACATTGGAGTTAGACAACTGACTTTCTTTTCTGGTTCACGTGTTTTCTTTCTTTCTGTTTTTTCTTTTCTTTTCTTTCTCTTTTTTATTTTATTTTATTTTTTTTTTGGAGCGGGGGAGGTTTTTGCTATAGGGCACATGCACTTGTCAGAAAGACAGAGAGAGACAGAGCGACATGGCCACTCCACAATCCCTTCTCCTCCATTTTTCTCTCGGGATCTTGGGAATGCATGCAAATGCACCTGGCGTGAGTTTAAGTCACCAGGTCCAGTATTCGAACCACAGTCGACTACATGGAAGTCCAGTGACATAGCCATTATGCCAACTGCTGGTCCCAGTTCACCTATTTTCTATTTATTTTGTTACAATATTGCTTTAACATGTAGTTTCACAATACTTTTTAATCTGTCAGTGTAAATTCCCCCAAATTACTGTTCTGAATTGCTCAAAGACTTCACTGGTGTTCTACATTAGGGACAAGGCTAGAGTGTTACTATATGGTGAAGTTTCACCAATACAAAGTAGAGGGGATCTTCAGTGTGTCCCAGACTCTCAAGATCTGAAAATGCATCAGCAGGCTCTATTAGACTCAGCACATCACCTCCATAAACAGGAACCCTTCACAAGTGGAATCACTCATTTAGATTTAAATTGCAAAGTTCTTAAAGGGGGCAAAAGAGTGCTATCTGAAGGATCTATATTTATAATGTGATTCAGTCACAGAAACAGGGCTGCCATGTTTTTACTGCTGTGATCCTATTTTTTTCCAGCTGAAAGTAATTGTATTGTTTAATTATAACAACCAAAATATAAATCAGTATTGGTAGAAAATGAAACAATCATCCCCTCCCCGAAATAAATACACAGACAGAAAGGAAAATATCGTAATTGAGGTAAAAAAGTTAAACGTCACTTCCTATCTATTTTTCAGACTACCTAGTTTCAAGCATCCTTTCCCACCTTCCATCTGGGTTCAAATCTGGAACAAGATTTTTAGGGTAAATGCTGGGCTTTACTTGCTGGGGGGCAAAGGTGAGAGAAGTAGGCATTTAGGGGCTATAGAAGAGGAAGGAGATTTTTGCGGCAAATAGGATATTATCTGCATTGTATAAATACATTACAGTGGAACTGAGAGTATGATAAGCATATGTTTAACTTTATGTGCAACTGCTAAATAGTTTTCCAAAGTATTTGGATCATTTTATATTTCCAGGAACAATGTGAGACAGTTCTATTTGTTCTATTTCCAGCACTCGACATTGCCAGCTTTTGTTTGGGGCCATTATAGCAGGTGAATCTTCTGATTCTACTTTGCATTTCCCTAATGACTAGAGATTTTGAGCATCTTTTCATGTACTTATTTGTGATTTGCATATCTTCTTTTGTAGTCTTTATGAAAACTCCTTACCCTTTTCTACTTTGTTGTTCCTTATCTTATTATTGTGGAATGAGAAAAAGGTGACTCCGCCCACTCACCCGCCCCCACCCTCCTGCCGCACTGCAGGTGTGAACGGTAATTGGGAATCTGAGCTCACAGTGACGTGACTCTTACTAGACCCCAGAGCTGATGCCTGGACTAGCCTGTCCCAGTTTCAGTCTACTGGTTCTTGGCGGCGGTGTGCCGGCTCAATATTGCTCTGAAAGTGGGCGAGCCTGTTGCCCAGAGAAGGAGGAAAGCAGTAGAAACTGACCCCAATCTGAGACAGGTTGGTGGGTGTTGAATTGAGGGGTGGGGGTGGCAGAAGGCAAAGATCAGAGCGAGCGGGTTGGAACTGGGTTCTCTATCTGTACACTAACTCCCACCCATTTGGTGCAAAAAATGGAGGGTTTAGAGGAGGAACTCGAGACGGACTTGAGGTTGAGAATGGGTACTAGTTGGGATTTCCTAGGAGGCTGGCGATCTAGCCCTCTGAAAGATAGAGAGGGCCGGTAGACGTGACGGTGTATAAGCTGCCTGATTCCTGCAGGGCTATCGGAGAGGGACACAGCCGACAACCAGGGGCTGAGGGGAGAGCAGACCCTCCACGGTTCCAAGCCTGCGCTCTTTTCCTCACACTCAGTCCATTTGGGGCCGAAATAGCGGGCTTCTGGAGCAGGGGAGGGGGAATTGCCACGGGGCTGGCTGGGGGTTGGTGGGGAGGGGAGAGGGTCAGGAATTACGGAAGCAGTCCCCACTGCGGAGGAGGCGGAGGAGGCGGAGGAGGCGGTTAAGGCGGTTAAGGCGGTTAAGGCGGTTAAGCAGGCGAATGTCTGACTGGGAGATAGAGGCAAGGAGCTCTGAGAAACTGTTCCTGGTCCATACAGGTCGGTGTAAGCATGAGAACTGCTTGTGGACTTTGGGATAAGAATGACAAAGCGCTGAGATTGCAGCGGGTCCTGGTTTGCAGTGCTCACACACCTCTTTGCTCATCCTCCATCTTGATGTATAAAATGGTGGTTATGGGCAGAGGTGGGCCGAAGAGATGTTTGTGGGGCCAGCTGGATATCCAGATTGAAAATCTTTGTAAATAAACTCTTATTTCCACCCAGCAAGCTCTTCTGATTTACCTGTTCAGCAAGTTGTCCATCTATGTTCAAGAAATAATTAGGTGACAGTTGAGAAAAGACGGTGAAGATAGATGGCCTAAAGAAGTTAAAAGGATGGGTAAATTATTATCTTTGATTATAATGCCCACTACTAGAAGGTGGATAACCTGTCACAGGGTTGGAGAAGAGGTTGTGAGACAGAATGGAAGGCCCCTAAGTCCACATAGAACAGGAGCCCCCAATCTCTGTCCTTTGATCAGGAGATCAGTCCTGGACATTGTTGCATTTGTGTCCGCAGGTCTTTAGGGCTATTGGCACAGCAAATTTCAAGGCAAAGAAAGAAAGGCTGCCTCTGATCTCTGCAGGTAGGGGATTTTGGGGGGCCCTCTGGTGCAGGGGTATCAAGGATTAGACCAGAATCTGCGAGACTCAATCCCTCCCTGTCCAGGTTAAGTACAGGAGAAACCTAGCAGAGTTGAACAAAACTATAGGCCTTTGACTGCTGAGAGAAGAAGGGAGTAGAGGGGCAAGGTCTGGGGTACCCCAGGGGAGCCTATCAGGATCCTTGGGAGCTGAAGCCTGGTATGTCAATAATTGCCCTGCCCACCACCTGTCCAACATCTTGAGAGGAGTCTCCTGGGGAAAGATTTTCAGGAAAAATTGTGGGTTTAGTGGCAGGGCTGGGTCTGAGACATCCTCTAGACAGTACACAAAATATCTCCAGTTTCAGGAAAACCTTTACCATACCGAGTTCTGAATCCTGTTATCAAGCATTCAATCTCTCTTGTTTCATTTTATCTCCTAGGAAGAAGAAACAGGAAAAAGATCCAACATGGAAAATATCTCCCAGGAAAACAAAGTCGGGGAGCAGGCCTCAGTGCAGAATGAAGATGAAGTTTGCCCTTTAAGAGGCGGTGAAGGCCAGGAGCCTGTAGGAAATATTACAGGGGGTTGGGCTCCACCGGTTCAGGATTTTGGAGGGGATGTGCCTAACAGGCTTGTCAATAACATTGACATGATAGATGGAGACGCAGATGATATGGAACGGTTCATGGAAGAGATGAGAGAGCTAAGGAGGAAAATTAGGGAGCTTCAGTTGAGGTACAGTTTGCGCATTCTTATAGGGGATCCTCCTCACCATGATCATCATGATGAGTTTTGCCTTATGCCTTGAATCTTGAGGTTAATAATCATAAACCCCTGCTTTCTAAACTTGTATTTTTGGTGCAAACTTAGTGTGAATGTTTTGGAGTTCTGCTATTTCCTGATTGGGGATTTCATCTTGACCTTGTCATTATGTTTTTATGTCAACAGGAGAATTCTATCAACTTGCATGGAAAGATGTTTATTACATACCACCATAAAGTTAATAAAGCATTTACAAAAGTCTATAGATATATTATCTCATTTAAAAGCATGCATATTTATATTTATGTATATATAAAACATATTTATATGAAATGTGTATGAAAACCAGAATGTTTTATTCTACGTAGTATACTTATTGATACCTTTATTTACTTATTTCTTAATTATCTGTTTTTCTTCTTTCCCAAAATGAATACATATGTTTTATGTGTTAGAAAACAGTAAAAAGTGGGGTTGGCAGGTGGCATGGTGGTTAGGGGCACTGGATTCCCCCATGGCCAACCACGGTTTGAGTCTCAGACCTGGCAGCTTGCTTTCTCACTTTCCCTTTCCCTCCTCTCTCTCTGTCTCTCTCCGGTCAAATTAAAAAATAATAATAACAAATGGAATTAAATATTTTTTTAAAAAAAGAAAAAAAGTAAAAAGCAAGGAATGTGCCAATCAGCTTATAAAGGGAATAGGATACAACTAATAAATACTAGAGACACAATCTAAAAGCATATAAATCTCGGGACCAGCAGTTAGCGTAATGGCTATGTCGCTGGACTCCCACGTAGTCGACCACGGTTCGTG